ATAAACTTTACTAATATATACTGCCATTACAATTTTTTTTATGTTACGTTCAAATTATAGTACTATTTAGAAGCATCTTTTACCTTTATTAAAAAAAATACAAAAAAGGACTTAAAAATACCTTTAAAACATTTATCTTATTAAAGTCCTTCTTCATATATTTTTTAGAATGTTGATGATGAAAAAAACATAAAACGCCCACCGTGGGGCTCGAACCCACGACCACAAGGTTAAGAGCCTTGCGCTCTACCAACTGAGCTAGACGGGCTTCCATGATAAAATATTACTTTCAAAATATATAACAAATATAAAGACTGATGTTTGGATTAATTACAAGAAACATAGTCACAGAGAAATTCTAATTTGGCTAAGATAAAATTCATTTGATTTGTCTAGGTATACGAGTGACATATTTTCTTTTACTACTTTACCTGTCAAATAATGATTCGTAATTATAAAAAAATATATAACATACACAATGTAGGTCTATAAATCGAGTTCAAGGAGGGTGAATGTACACAAATTTGTTTCATATGCTTCCAAAATCATTAAAAAAAATATTAGTATAAAGTGAATTACGTTTTGTATACAAAGTATGAAACTTTTGATTAAGCTAATGTTTAACTATAAATTTTAGATTAAATTTAGATAATTAATTAGTGTTCAAATATTTGTTTGGCCATCAAATTTGATCTTAGACTAGTTTTTGCACTTGTGCTCACAAAATTCAATTTTCTTTCAAATAAAAACATGTGTCTAAACATAAACAATTATATGATATAACAATTGCTACACGAAATTATTATAAATAAATGGCTGAAATTAAATGAAGGTATAAAAAGAAAAAACAAATTGAGTGGAGTGGCTCATGGAACTTTGAGATTTGTGAAAGAGAAAGAAAGGAAGAGGCTCCCATTCAATAATTGTAGTTGTACTATATTTGAGGTTTTCGAATTCTTCCACTAAGTTTTGTCACACATCACACTTCCATCATCTTATTTACAACTAGTAAATTTTTTGGTAAATTAACTTTTCAAAATGAACATACATGATTTTTTTAATGGGGCCAATATTATTGCTCATTAGGTAAAATAAAATATTATTCTACTTTTTTTAGTTTCAATTTGATTGTGCAATCTTTGCCTTAATATACAATTTTTTAAAACAATAAAGAAGACCTTTAAATTTTATTATCTTAAACTAATAATACATAAAATACATTAACATGTCTTTCAGCCTTATAGCGTTAAGTATTTACAAAAAATACATATATTCAAAGAGTTAGCAGTGATAGATGGAGCCAGGATTAGGAGTTTGAGAGTTTGAGAAATCTTTGTTGATAGTGGGATTTGAATCACAACACTAGTGAAAGAGATTTTCATTACCCCTTTTTATCACAGAACTGTAAATCAATTTTGTTAGGGATTCATAAATTTATACAAATAATATTTATTTAATTATTTTTCTAATACAGTCTAAAAAAAGATAATGAATTCGTCCGTACCCTCACCTAACTCCGCTTCTAATTAGCACTAAGAGTTTATATCATTTTAGTGAACGACATAAATAGCTTAATTGTCGAAAAGATCCTCACGAACATCCAACTAGACTAAAGAGGGTGGTTGATCACAATTGATCACCAAAATGTTTTTACTTCTATATCCATACTTTGCTAATATGGCATCAATTATATATGTAAAAAGTAGTTTCAGCATTTTATTTTTCATAATGTATAAAGTGTTATGTTGATTATGAATTTGTGATAAGTGTTTTATAACCTATTAAATTATATTATTTTGATAAGTTTAATATTTGAATAGATTGTATCGTTCTTTTATATATTATTATATCATGTCGCACGTCAAGAATTTGAAGAATAAAATCATTATATTATGAAATTTTAAATAAAGTAGGGAACGGAGTAGAGTTATAACACATAAAATTAATAGAATAAAAGATAAAATATAATTATAATAAATAAAGATAAAATGAAAAATAAAAGAATGTAATGATGCAGTCAAATCAAATAGATTGTTATATAATGAATAATTAAACTATATTCTATGATACACAAATTTTTCAGTAATTAAAATAGATTGTTATATGATGAATAATTAAAAGATATTCTATGGTACACAAATTTTTCAGTAATTAAAAATGATTGAATAACTAACCAAATTATTGGAATTTCATATTCATTTAGACACTAATTTTTTCTTTAATCTCATGCATATAGATAAATTTTGAAAATGAAGTTACTCTATTGTGGATAGTTTTGAAGAGTCCATGTCAAAATAGCTAGCCACATAATGTTGGAGGAATTGTTACAAAAAAATCCAAAACACAAGTGGTACTAATTAGGAAGAATATTAAAATTATTGTTGCAATTGTATTTTAAAATTGTATAATATTAATTAATGAAATTCAACAAAAGAATATGATCGGTGAGGATTTATAAAAAAAAATAATAACCTCATATAACATTGTTTTATTTTGTTTTAAAAAGATGATCCACTTGTTCATTTTGCCCTGGAAAATTTTTAGGATAGAAGTCAACACTAAATCTTTTATTCAATATGACTATATTGGTCTTTCTTTAAATTTTCATATCTATTTTTAAAATATTTAATGTAATTTTACTTTTATACTACTTTAATATTTTGAATAATTAACCCCTTCAACTTTTAAATCTTCGATACTTCATTTTTTCTGAAGGCTACTTGGATCAAGAAGAGAGATGATGATATTAGATAATTTGTTCTTAATCATGCATAAAAAATTCTTGTTAATGTGACATGGCATTTCTAATAATAGAATATCTTTATATTTTAAGTTATAGTAGTAATTTATGATCAGTTTTTTTTTTTAATTTTACTCAAAGAGTAGTGAAATTAAATTTCATTGACTATAACTATTTGTAGATTTCCTTAATCTCGTATTAAGTGAATTACATTAATTAACTTTCATAAGAACTAATTTAAATCTAATCGATCTACCTCTCTCTATATAACAAAATAAAATAATAATAATATTAACATCTTCCTCTCACAGTAGCATCATCTTCATCATCATGTGTTACCATACTATAAAGTACTTTAAGAAGTAAGTGAGTATATATTTTAATTTATTTATCTTTTCTTAATCCACTGTTAAAAATATATTCTTTTCCTTTTTTGATAATTATTTAATTTTAATTTTTTACATGACATGTTTATAACTATCAAATTCAATAATAATTTATATATCCTATACACCTTTAACTAAAAACTATCATTTAAAAAACTTTTCAACTTTTTAAAATTTGATGTCGAATTTAAATAAGAAAATAAATTGAAATTAGAAGAGTAATACTCGACTTATCATAATAAACCACATGGCTATTTAAAAACTGTACAAAGTCATTAAGTTTATGACGTTAGTTTGATGTTGGAAATATTCAAAATATTTCTAAATTTGTTACAAATTATTAACTGTGATTTGAATTATAGACCGTTATAAAAATACTCATTTACTTAATTAACTGAACTTAATACACCTCAAATCTTACAACATGAGTGAAATACATTTTTAATTTCTCGCTTAGTTTAGGGGTGTTTTCAATATTTTTTTCGACTTTTTATCAAGAGCTCCACGCTCCTACAAGAGTTTGAGACCATTAGTTATGTTATGTGACAGATCAAGTGTGATATCTTTTCTGAAGATAAAAAATTCCACATAGGCAAATACACAGGAGAAATATTGGGTAAATAAGTAAGCAGACCTTATCAACTAGTGACATATTTTAAATTGTGTGGATCTCAACCCAAAACGAATAATATTACTAGCGGATTGAACCTTTATAAATGGTATTAGAGTCACTGTTGTGTCAGCCTTGTCGATGTGAGTCAAAGTTTAACTGGTTTAGACAAATATCAAAAAGACGGGATAAACTTCAGTACTGACCCAAAGTGAACGATATCACTACGGGCTTAGTCGTTATATTGTTTCTAAATTTATATCAGAGTATATCTAAATTTAGTTAGCTATGGAACGAAATTAATAATTTATATATAATAAGTGAAATATATTTATGGACCATTTCTTGTTGGGGGTTACTTTTGGTGTTTTTCCATTTTTTTAATCCATGTACCTCTTTTTGTCTTGACTCAAAAATCTGTTACACTAAACAATACTAGTAAAATATTCTCTCTCACCTCACTTGTCACACACTATCTCCTCCTCCAATCTTGTCTTCTCTGCAATTCTTTTTCTTTTTCCCCTCTTTGTCTACACACCACTGTTTTCATACCTTCATTTTCCACCTCTTTCACACACAAAAAACCAATCTTTTAACTTTCAGTATCAAGAATCTGTTGATATATAAATGCAGCTCTTTCTGAATGATACCCCATTTTTTTTTAATCCTTCAGAAAGGATAGATGAATGAAGTTCTATCTTCATTTGATCAAATAAAGGTCTGATCTTGATCTTGTTATCACTCTCCATTTCTTCTTCTTTTTCTTCATTTTTCTTGCCATGGGGGTGGGGAATCAAATCAAATTGCAAAATCAGCTCAGAAAAAAAAACAATTTTTTTGCCTTTGGGGGGTTGGGGAGCTGCAAATTTGTTGTTTTTGGCCTTCTGTTAGAAGGGGTTTTAGATTCAATGACCTTCAATTTTTCTAGTTTTTTGTTGATTTGTTTTGATTTTTTTTTGTGGAAAAGAAAGAATCCACATAATGATAAATCTGAAGGTTCTGACACTATCCAAATCTTTTTTTTATGACTTTTTCATCTGAAAAAGAGTCACTTTTATTACGCAAAAAGGTTCTCTTTTTAACACCCAAATCCTTATTTTCTTTAAAATAATGATGAACTATTTTTAAAGTAGTAAAATAAAGTGTTTCTCTTTTTCTTTCTGAAACTTTTGTTATTTCAAGGCTCGAGCAGTGACTATGATGGACTCATATTTTAAGAAGAGTTTTTTTTGAGCTCTGAGTCAAATTGGAGCCATAGGAAACTGGGACCATTACTATGATTGGTGTCACAAATCTTTAATTTATTTATGGACCATACATGATAAGTATTCTGTTTTGATTGGTTTTTGGAACTGTTACTTTTTTATTTCTGTCTTTTTGGGGCACACTGGAATGGTAAGCTTGGACTGTGAAGTTTGCTAAAATTGACTTGTTGAGAGTTACATGTAACTAAACATTAAAAAATAGTAATCAGTTTAAATGAACTTCAAAAGGGTGTTTGGTTTTGAAATTTAGGAACAAATTTTAGTGAGGGGTTTGGTTTAATTGTTGAGCCAAACATCTATTGAAAACAAACTTTCTATTTTAAATGTTTGTGTACATGCTACCTTTTATAGACCTAATTTGTCAAATTACACGAAATATGTTATTGTTGTTGGTTTGGTTAAATTGTGTGTTAGCTAAAATATTCAAGTGCTTTCATTTTCTTACTCCACTTCTTTCTGGGGATAAGAGGATTAGTGTGGTAGCTTTTACTTCAAAGCACAATAATAATGACAAGTGTGAGGGTTTGAATGTATTTTCCTTGTTTGATGACTTTTTTGCCTTATTTTTCAAAATGATAACAGTTTGCATTAATTGTATCTTGCCATCTGACATTTTCACTGTTTGGCTATCATAGGTGTTTGTTGAACAGCATCTTTTTGAGATAATTCCAGTTATTTGAAGTACATTTTGGTCTAAAGGGTAATCAAGATTGCTAAAGATGGTAATCATGAGGAGTAGACTCGCCTGCTGTACAAGAGATAGAGAGATCAGCATTGACTTTGATGAAAATCAGAGTAAGCTTACCTCTCTTACTAGTTAAAGTATTCTTTTTTTGTATTTGGCGCGATATAACATTGAAGTTTCATATAGACGATCCTGATTCGCTTGGGATTGAGGGATAGTTGTTAGAGTCGAAGAAGAATATGTCGATTGGGTGAGCAAAAAGTTCCACAAAATGTAGCTCCAACAATCTTTAGTGTTTTCTCTACTGGGATTGTTTTTAGGTTTGGGTCATACAAAATGGATTACATTAACATTCCTATGATTGCTCTTTGTTGGTAACGTACTTAACAAATGGATTAGTTACTATAATGCTGCATCTCAAAAGAAAATTAAAGGGTCCCAATGCTATAAATTGGGCTTGTATTAAGAGTCATTATCTACGATTTTGTACAAGGACCAGACGTTGTCCACACCCTTGAACGAATTGTGGAGACCACTGTAGGGAACTTTCATTGATATGACAGAGCATTTTGTAAAGAAGCTATGAGTGTTGGGTCCCTACTATGAATCAATGCTCTTGTGATATGGCCCTCCATTATAAAGCATATGTATTTTGACCATGACATATCTAATATCGGTCACGTTTATGTCAGTAGGAAGGTAATGACCATTGATGTCCTTCCAGTCTTGGACCATAATAGGAGTAGTAGAGTATTCAAGTAATATTGTGCCCTACAGATTTAATGCTTCTTTCAGTAAACATCAGAAGATAGAACTATGTTTACCTATTTTTTTAAAAGGAAGCTGTGGATGACATAATAAATGTCAATAACTGTATCCAGTAATGGCATTTTATGGTGAATAGAACATTAATGTTTCATGTTTTTGAAGTAACTTAGTTGGGGGTATGCCACATTTTAGAGCTCCTAAATGAACAGTTAAATGTGCCATGAACACAACTTTTTCTAAATTTGGTTAGCTTCCTATTTAGTTCTGTGTCGGAGTTAACAAAGTCAATGATATATTACTTTATAAGTTAATACTAGTATTTAGATTGTGAATCCGACATTTACTAACCACCTTGTTTGTCTACATGTTCAGTGTAGTTCCTTTGACTTCTGTAAAGCACATGTTTCTTGAATCTGAACATTGCATGTTAGTGATTTGGTGAATGCTTTAGGCTCAGTAAATTAACAACTCAAATGCTAGGATCAATGGCTTGAAACTGCCAAAGGTTGAAAAATATACTCTCTTTTTTTCAGTTGATGGGTGGGACCCAGCACTAGTTAGGCATATTTTGAAATTATAAGTCACGTGGGAGGGAACTATGCTTTGAAATTTTCTACTTCTTATTTTAATATTTTCATAGATGGGAAGGAGAGGAATACTCTTATATTTTGAAATTGTAAGCATACCTTTTTTTGAGCCAAGGGTCTATCGTAACCGCCTCTCTACCTCCTAAGGTAGGGGTTAGGTTTGCATACACTCTACCTTCCCTAGATCTCACTCGTAGGATTATACTTGGTACGTTGTTGTTGTTGCTTTATTGTGTTACAAAAATACAAGTATGTGTGGTAGTGATTTATCATTAGTGCTAGGTTTCCCTGGTTCTTGTTTAAAAATAAAATATGTTTGGTATAATGGTGGACCTAACACTAGTAGTTTATTGAAACTAAAAGTTCCACTGCAATTTCATGCAACACCTGAAGTAACTACACAGGGGACAAAGCTTTCCTTTTGTGAAATGACTAGATTTTCTGGTTGTATCAACTGCTACTCCGGGCAGGGGTGGAGCCACCTTGGTACAAGAACGGAAATTTATACTATTTATACATGGTTAAAATAATTTTTAATGTATATATAGTAGATGTTGAACCCCCTTCGACTACTCCGTGTGTCTATTTCTACGAATTTTGAACCCACTTATTGAAAATCCTGGCTCCGCCACTGACTCCGGGAAGTCTCTTTTCAGTTCGTGGCATTTGTTTCTACTAATTTCAGCATAACCAGCTTTGAACAACCCTATTTAAAAAGAAACGTATAGCTAACTGATATACATATGTAGTCATCTTTATTTCTTGTGAATATAGAGAAATAATATTAAGCAGAAAAGTAGGAATTGTGTGCTTCAATAATTGATCTTCTTTTAAGATCTACATCTGTATTGATATTTTACTGGTTTACCATTTTAGGTCATCCTACTTCTTGTCAAGGAGTAATTTGACAAATTTGTTCATTCAGCTGATCATTTTTTAATTTCTCATATATTTTACAAAGAGAATAGTTTGCAGTGACAAGAATATGAACATACACATACTTGCAAATTAAATATGCTGGTAGTAGTGTCATGTTTGTGCAACATCCATGCTGTAAAAGTAACATATTCGAATTGCACATTTAAGATACTTTAAATTTTTAAATCTTCTGCAAGTCTTTAGTTAAAAGACGTATAAATTGTGCATGTTCTTGTGATCATTTTATTTATTCTTCCGTCTTGAAGTCGACACTTAAGCATCACGGCCCGTACTCAATTTTCTCGTTCTATCTTATTAACAAATGTTTTGTCTTGGATTCGCCTTTACCCTTCCCTCTATCTCTACTAAAATCAATATAAATTTCAGGAATTACAACATATGATGGTCTTGAAAGTATTTTGAACAGTCAGCCGTATGACAATCAAAGTGTCACTAGCAGAGGTGATGGAGGTGTTACAGATTCCTTGGATGATGATGACTCAAGCAGCAGTTCTAGCAATAATGTTTTTGGATCTTTCTCGTCTCACTGGACAACAATGAAGAGGGATGATCAGGGATCCGAGGAGTGGGATTTCTCAGCAAGCCCAAAACATTACTATGTAAAAGAAAAACCGATTTATACCACCCAGTTTTCTGATTTGGAAACAATGAAAGAAAAATTTGCAAAGTTGTTGCTGGGGGAGGATGTGACTGGAGGAAGCAAGGGGGTTTCCACTGCATTAGCACTGTCAAATGCCATTACAAATCTTGCAGGTATAAGAGTTGCTAATTTGGTTTTGTTCTCAAGTATTGCCTTGCCTAACTCTTTCATTGTGTTACAATTAAAAGGTCTAACAGGCCAATGCAATAGCTCTATTAATGGCCTAACACCACCATTACTGTTCCTTTTCCCACCTGATTTGACATACTGTTACTTGATTTGCAGCATCAGTGTTTGGAGAACTTTGGAAATTGGAGCCACTTGCGGAGGATGGGAGAAGGAAATGGAAGAGAGAAATGGAGTGGTTGCTCTCTCCTACCAACCATATGATTGAGTTGGTTCCTGCTAAACAAACTGGTTCTAATGGCCAGAAATTGGAGGTATCTGTGACTTTTAGCCATTCACTAAATAAATGTATTTCATCATAGTAAAGTTTAATGTATGCTCAACTTGCTGTTGGACCAGATCATGGTCCCAAAAGCTCGTGCAGATATCCATATGAATCTTCCAGCACTTCAGAAGTTGGACTCCATGCTTCTTGTAGGTGGTCTCTTTAATCCTGGAAAAGTAGATCATTTCTTTTTAAGCATCAATTTGGTTCTAATCTAAATATTATATTTCTTGAAATGTGTAGGAAGCTCTGGATTCAATGGTTAATACTGAGTTTTGGTACACGGAAGTGGGTAGCCGAGCAGAAGGAAGAAGTAGAAGTGCTGGGGAGAGCAAAAGGTGGTGGCTTCCGTCACCCCAGGTACCCATAGCAGGGCTCTCTGACCCTGAAAGAAACAAATTGTTGAATCAGGGTAAATTGGTGAATCAAATATATAAGGCAGCTAAAGCTATCAACGAAAATGTTTTGTCTGAGATGCCTGTTCCAACAATCATTAAAGATGCACTTCCAAAGGCAAGTGAGCTATGTCACTAAGCTATTTTGTATTTGCTACAATGTATTTCTTTGTTCATATGAACCGTGTAACAAAATCCATTCACTCTTAACAGTCTGGAAGGACAAGTCTTGGGGAGGACCTTTATAGGATCCTGAATGCAGAATCAACATCAATGGAGGATATGCTCAATTTCCTTAATGTAAGATCTGAACACAATGCCCTTGAAGCTGTTAACAGGTTGGAGGCTGCAATACTTGCATGGAAAGAGAAAGTAGCTGACCATGTCTGTGGAAAATCTCCAGCTCGAACATCTTGGTCTTTCAAAAAAGATCCAATATCTGAACTGGACAAGATTGAGGTATTATCGAGCAGAGCAGAAGCTCTTCTGCAGCAACTCAAGAATAAATACCCAAACCTTCCTCAGACATTCCTCAATGTCACAAAGATCCAATATGGCAAGGTAAAAATTTATGTCCCACTAGCTACATCCATAAGATAGAATTAATATGGAAAGGAGAGCCTTCTGATAAACATTTCATTTTTGATTCAGTTCTCGAGATTCTCAATCTTTTTTACTAGTGGGGAGGAATAGAACGTCTAAACATGAATGGCGGTTCTCAGATGAGGAGAACTGTTCCTCTATTAATTAAAAGAAAACTAGAATCTTTGTGTTGATAAAGCTATATCATCTGTGGTCTGCATGTTGAATTGTTTGTACATTCCGTTTTTACAGTAGTGGGTCGGACAGTGTGGGTTTGGGAGTTCAGAAACATTGACATATTACCACTTTACAAGACCTTATTTCGAATTTTGTCATGTTGGTCCTCAATAAATGGTCCTAACAAACAATAGTATTGGCATATACTTGTTCACAATTAATTGCTATGCCCTTGAGTTGTTTCCTTATATTGTGTCTCCCTAGTGCTATGAGGTGTGTATACCATGTCCAGAATATCAAGACTCCAATGAGTCATCTTATTTCATGTCTGCTTAATGTGTTCTTTGATTGTTTTTGTTCTTCTCTTATCGTTATAGGATATTGGGTGTTCAATTCTTGAAGCATACTCTCGTGTTCTGTTGAACTTGGCGTTCAGCATCCTGACTAGGATAGGAGAGATTCTGCAAGAAGACATTTTGAGCAATCCCAATTCGCCTGCGGCTTCATGCCACCTTCCTGGCATAAGAATTGCAGGATTGACAGATAGTCCCATATCTAGTCGTGTGAGGCACTCGTTGATTGATCAGATGAATAAAACAGATGGACGTTGTTGTGATTCTCGTCGTACCAATGCTTCTGATATAGATATTGAGTTTGCTGATTCAAGATTAAGTTCAGTAACAGCAACGCCAAGCCGAAGAGTGTGGTGCATAGGCAGAAAAGCTTGTAGCAGCATGTCTGCTGCAAACTCACCTTGATAAGCAGAGTTTTATTTTATTAGTCTTTATGTAGATATCTATATAATATCATTTCCATGTCAAAACAACAGCCTTATAGCTTGAGGCTGAGTTTTCATGGGTTATCATTGGAAACTTGCCCTCATTTACAACATACAAATCGAGTTGAGCATTATCAAGCTCCCGTTTGATTGTAGATTCTAAAGTTGAAACTTGAAAAAGTAAACTTTTGAAGTTGTTATTCTTAAAACTTGAAATTGTGTTTCAACATGCATTTTACTTTCTTTTTTTAAAAAAAGTTTTCTGAATGGAAGTAAATATCTCCAAATCATATTTTGAGACCTTAAAGATTAGCTTTAAATTTGGCCTATATGAGTTTATGCTACTTGAAATGAAAGTTTGAATATTGGTCTAACTCAAAGAATGATAGAAATGATATTATTTTTTTGATTGATTTCTCATCCACTGTGTAATATCCATTTTGAAGCTTTAATTAAGTAGGAACTACTTGCATAAGATCAATTAAAGGAGAAATGTTATTTAATAGAATTTGTTTTATTTCTACGGTAAAAAAATATTCTATTCATTTCACCACAATCCTTGATATGACAGACGTAAATCACAATAATATTAGACGTGCATACACAAATTGGTGATGCTAGCAAGTAGCAAGATCACTAAATATGCATGATGTGTTTGTTCATAGTCTTAGATTATCTCATTCAATTACAAATACCCAATGCATGTAAGTATTTAGCCTTTAGCCTTTAACTTTGAGAGATGTTGGAGATGTCTTTCTATCTTATTTTATAAAAATGTACACCAAGTGTAATCGGACAATATATTATAATTTTGGTTATGAATTTTATTTGTAAATAGACACCATTAGTGTTTTGCTTGAAATAGACATCAAACATTTTTTTCTTAAAAAAAGGATATTGTAATTATAAAAACCATTTTCAGTTTTTGTTTATTTTGACTTACATAATTTATTTATTTTTCCTCCTCCATTCGATTAATTGCAACAAAAACTCCGTGACTTTGGCGCGAAGATCTCCGAGTACCAACTTTTGCCACCACGAGCTCTAATTAGCAAAAAATTAGGCATGTTCTAATTAATTTAAGAATTTTGACAATATACCATGAAAAGTAAATTTGCATTAAAATAAATTATATAAAATTACAACCATTCAAGAAACGTGCTATTTTTTTTCCAACAAATTGTTTACTAAGTATAAGTATTTGCATATGAATTGTTTCTCTCTTACCTAGTACGTTGAGTCTTAAATATCTTTTTCGAATGGACCCTATAATGGTTCCTATGCAACACGAGTTTAATTTAATCCAATATGAATATCAAACATTACAATTTAATTGAACTTTAATATAAATATCGAACGTCAAATAACAGACAATTGAATTACACTTAAACGTGAATTGGTGTTGCTAGCCAAAGGAGATTTATATATATATATATATATATATATATATATATATATATATATATATATATATATATATATATATATATATATTAAAAATGATTAAACATATTAAATTTATACAATAAAGGGTGAAAATATCCTAAACTAAAGAAAAGGTTAAAAAAATATTATTTATCCATCTTTTGATATAAAAATACCCTTTTGCTCATCTTTTTATCTAAAAACCCTTCAATTCCTTGTAGTTCAGTGTTATCTTTTTTATCCTTCTTTGAGATCTATATAATTTTAAGTAAAAATCAAATGCAATAATTATCTATTGTAAAAAATAAAAAGGTTTATACAATTGCTTTTATTGATCGGCGGTAAAACAAAAAAAGGAAGTGGTAAAAACTAACCTAAAGCACAAGTAGCGGTTACTCTTTAGCTAATCACAACTGCACCACTCTTAATTACTTAATTTACTATTTACTATTTGATTTAATTTTTTATTCTTTTTTTAGTTTTATTGTAACAAAAGCTCCTTAACTTTGGCGTCAAGATCTCAATTTTCTGTTTAGTATTATTGCAAGTTTTTAAGTTGCTCTTATATTTATGCATGTGCTTAATTGATTTAGTCAACCTTTCATAAATAATCTAATTATTATTGAAGTTTTTGCACGGATAAAGTTGCTTATTTTATCCTCAAATATGATGATATTTAATTTTTGTATGTATGGATCAAAATATCTTTATATGTCATCTAATTAATTTTGCTAGACATAAATCTAGAAATTTTTTTTTTGCTTATGTAAATTTAATAAGAATTAAGTCATTCGATACAAATTATGTAATATACAATTTAATAGATTTATTATGATACGAAAATATAAAATTAAACCGAACACTATCAAATGGCCCGGCCATTTGTGCTAATGACCCATTCTTCGTCACTGTCCTAATTTTAAGCCCACATGGAAAAATGCGGCCTTGTATTTAAAGTTTTATATTTGATAAAAATGTTGAAAAAAACATGTCGTGTGGAAAAAATTTTAAAAATAATTTCATTAAATTATTGAATAAATAAATTAAGAAGAAAAAAAAATAGAGAAACCATTTAGCGCATTGTGGAAAATATTAAAAAGTTTCTTCTTGAAAAACACAAACCTAATAAAAATTTATTAGGAGGTAACCAAAAAAAAAGCATTAATTTAGTACACTGCAATTCTTGTTTATTTGATTTCTTTTTGCCCATGACAACAATTCTTGTTTGTCCTCAAAAAAATTGTCATTGTCCGTATGTTTTCAGAGATTAAATCCTAAGTGATTTTTTATAGTAAATTAATTTTACGCTTTAAATATGAAAATAATAATCTAATATTGAAAAACTTACTCATAATAGTAATTGTTCTTTTCAACAAACTTATGATTGCAAAACATCTTCTTCTTTTTTGTATATCACTTTCAATTATAGTAATTATTTCTAACCTAAAAACTATATTATTTAATTAGGTATTAATACGAATAAATACTTAATTTGTATCATAAAGACACTAGTTATAAGGGATTATAAAAGACAAATTGGATAAAAAAAAATTCCCCTCATAAATGATAAAACAGTACAAGAAAAAAAAGTAAAAACAACAAAATTTTATACTACAGTTAAAAAAAAAAAAGAGTAAAGAACGGTTAATAGAGTGAAATCGGTTAATATTCCTATAACTTCTCCATTACTCTTCTAAAACAGTAACTGTCATTGAGACCCCCCCCCCCCCTTATCACACCCCCACCCTCAACACACCCCCTCCGCCGTCATCATATATTAATCTTACTACTGTTAACACTAATTACATAGTTTGTCAGCCCCAGAGAAAAACAAGACTTGTTTGTTAGGGGTCTACTTTTGTTCAAACAGTGAGGAAAAACAGCAAGACATATAATATCTGTCTCTCAATTAAGGTAATTATCCTTTAAACTAATTTTACTCTTTCTTACATTAACCTTTAAGCTACTATAATATATTTGTTACTTAAAACTCATTTGTTTATTTTCAGGGATCTATTCAAGAATGGCTAGTGTTAGCTACTACTCTGCTTCAAAATTGGAACCAAATGTTCAAGAATTCAACTCAGAAGAAATGATGACCATGCAGCAGCTTCTTTTTGATTTCAACTATGATGTTGAACAGAACTTTTCTGATGAAAATCAAGATTGCTATTTCGATCCAGACGAGTTTATTTTACCCATTGAAATGAATAACAGTTGTTGTTTCATGCCAGAGTACTCTGTTTTGGAGAAACAACCAAAGGACAATCATTCTTGTTTCATTCCAGAGTACTCTGTTTTTGAGAACATCCCAAAACGTCAAAAGATTTTTCAAGATGATTTCTTTCCAAATCCAAATAGTAATACGATAACCCCATCCACTCACAATTCTTGTTTCATGCCAGAATACTCTGTTTTTGAGAAACAACAAAAACTCTTTCAAGATAACTTCCATGAGGAGGGGTTTTTGCCAAATCCTCCAATGTTTGAGGATTTTGCGCTTCCAGAAATTCCTGTGCCTGTTTTTAGTGCTGGAGTTGTCGCGAAGAAAGGCGGTAGTAGTAATAACGAGAAGAAGATGTCAGCACAGAGTATGGCGGCGAGGCAGAGGAGGAAGAAGATTAGTGATAAAACACAAGAATTGGGCAAATTGATACCTGGTGGACACAGAATGAACACTGCTGAAATGCTTCAAGCTACTTACAAGTATATTAAATTGTTGCAAGCACAAGCTGGAATTCTTGCCTTCATCGGATCATATCAGGTAAATAAATTAAACAAACTCGTAATTTTATTCTGGTACTTTATTTCCATTCGTAAATCATAATTCATCAATCGAATAGTTAGCTGAAACTTTGTATATTTTAATAGCTATTAACGTATTTGATTTGCAGGAATCATTTGAAACACCAAATTTGCAGAAACTTGTTGGATCTTCGTTGGTTCAAGAAAAGTTGTATTCAAGTGAACATTGCTTAGTTCCAAAAGTGTTTGTTGAAGCACTAGAAAATAATCAAGAATTCCAAAATTCACAAATCCTTGAGGAAATCAAAACTTTGATGAAGGAAGGAAAATGATTAATTTTCAGCCAAAGAATTAGAAATTTTAGGTTTTTGTTTAGATTAGTTTAGTTCAATTACTTGTTTGTTGTCTTAAGCTAGCCATGATTTCATTTTTGTTTTTTGTTAGTTAGGATTTTAATTATGTAATTTTTCACTGTAAATTCCTCATTTACAAGGAATTTAATTCCATGTGAAATTGAAATTTACTTTTTCAATTATTAGCTCAGCTTGCATTAATCTTAATTTTATATTGCCAATAAGTTTAATTTCTCTTCCTCATTTCACTGCAATCATAAATCTCAACTAAAAACCAAAATATTTGAAGACATAATGTCTTTGTTTCCATAAATGTTACCTGAAAACCTAAGTTACAAAAAAGGATTTTAATAGATTTATAATGCAAGTTTAATACATATCACAAAGATAAATTTATCATTCAAATATAATACAAGTTTTAATGATGAATAATATATTTATCACACATTTTTAATACATTTATAATACAATGTGACAATTTTTTACCAAACAAACATAATATATTTCAAAAACAATTATAATTCAAATATATTGCATACATAATTCACTTTTAATATATATTACAGATTTATCACAATATTGCTAAAAATGATAATAAACAAAAAGTTTTTTTTGCTTCAAACAGACATTAAACAATTTTTTTTAAAAAAAATAATATTTTAATCATAAAAGTTTAATACACTGTAACTTCTG